GAATTCAAGCCCAGCTCCAGATCTGTGCTGGGGCTACTAGCATGGCTCATTGGGCCCTCACAGCTATCAGAGGTTAGGGCCTTAGGCTACATCCCGAAACTCAGAGCTGACAGGGGAGGTGCAGAGGGGAGATTAGTGTAGGTCAGTGACCTCTACAGGCAGACCCATCCTGAGCCCCACCCCTGCCTCAGGGAACTCACAGGAATGTCTCGCAGGGCCTGGTTCTCGGCCTTGGGCCGCCCCTTTTTCTTCCCCTCTGTCCGGTCGCTGGCTGGACTTCCTGGGTCAAAGCAGAGAGGAGCCTGGCCAGATACTGTCTGTCCACTGTGGACCACAGGCATCCCTGTAGCATATGGGGCAGCAAGGTTCAGGGACTGCACTGTGGCTGGCACAAGGGGGGCAGATGTGCAATGAGCCTGGGCTCACCAATGCAAGGCATAGGGCAGGGGCCCTGCCAGCCTAGGACAAGAACCCAGGCACAAATTATGTCCAAAACAGCCTCTACCCCAGAACGCCCTTGGGTACTCAGAGAGTGACCCTCTGGAAGTGATTTTGGCCCTGGCTCCTCACCCAGCTTTGGTGAGTCCTGTAGCATGGGAAGTCGGACCTCCTTCCGGCTGCCACCCTTCCCAGGTCCACTTCTGCTGGACCCCTGGAGCCGGCGGCCTCCTCCAACACAGAAGGGATCAGTCATTTCTGCAGGGCAAGTACACAGACCTGAGGTCCAATGAGCCCAATTCAGAACTTACAGAGGGGCTGCCCTGAAGCCTGCCCACCAATAGGCTCACTCTGGCCAGGAAGCTTGCCCTCCTGATTTGTCACAGGGAAACAAGTAACAGGGCTTCTGACTCAGGGGAGGGGCTGCACAAGTTCTCCCCAGACAACCCAGAAGGCACAAACAGTGTGGAGACCCTCACCAGGTTGGACAGGCTCCCTCTCAATATCAGACTCACAGTCCCAAAGTGTGCTGAGGATCAGGCATCGGGCAGGGCGTGTCCCCAGGAGAGGTGGCCTGTGCAGGAGGAAGGAGGCTGACCACATCCCTCCTAAGGGCCAATTATGGCACCAGCAACAGCTACTGGCTCACAGGCTGCCAAGCCCCAGCACCTTGAGGGTATCTTTCCCTTCAGGGTCCTCACCCCTGCCCACTCACACCCCATGCAAAGCCAACCTACCCAGGTGGGCACCCTAGATCCTTCTCCCCAGATATACAAAATAGTCTAGGTGAGTGCCAAGGGACGCTGGGGCCCTCCTTAACTACAAGCAACCCCTCTCTGGTGGGCAGACTGAGGGCCACTGGCATCTCCTTCTGGTCCCTGGGTTTCCTGACCATSATGTCTGGCCCCCTTCTCAGCCTTGATGCAGGGTTCCTGTTCAGCCCCTGAGTCACTGACCACTGTCTGGCTGACCTCTGCTTTCCCTGCTCAACAGACCTCAGCCCACTTCAGTTAAACAAGGCCAGCATTAGCAGCAGAGGCCCAGGCTCCAGAGCCCACCAAGACACTCGCCAGGGAGAACCCTGTTGTCCAAGGCTGGGCTTCCAGGGGCCTGTTCCAGGAGTCACCAGGCCCTGTCAGGTCCTCCCACAAAGACACCTGAGCCACGGAAGGGGGCGGTACCAGGGCGCAAGGTGTGAGCAGGGGAGCCCTTCTCCGACAATTTCTGATCAATTCAGATGAGAGGGCATGGGAAGGGGCTGCTGTGTCTGGGAGGGCTGAGGTCGGAGGTCAGGACAGGCACTGCCCACTGCCAAGGGTGATGGCAGCCTGGGTCCTGGGCCTGGGGGGAGGGAGGGTGTGAGGTCAGTCAAGAAACTTCTCAGGGAGTCCTCACTTTGAAATTTCAAAGGAAGACAGTGGCATGAGTCATCCCTCCGACCCGAGGCCTGGCTGCAGGCGGCCTCCCTTCCAGTCTTTCTAAACCCGGGCGGGAGCCAGCGCTGGGGCCTGGCCGCGGCCGCGCAACCCCTCCGCCTGGGGCCGCGGCCGGTGCAGGACTCCGGGGGGCTTGCTGACGGGGCCGCGGCGGGCGGCGGGGCCCTCCGCGGAGGCCGGCGGCCGGCGGCGCGGCCCGGCCAGGTGAGGGCGGCCTGGGCGCGCTGCGGGAGCGGCCGCCACCCACCTGTCACTCGCCCGGCGCGGGCGCTGGCCTCGGCCTGGCCGGAAGGGCGGCCGCGGCGGGCGGGGGGGGGCGCAGGCGGAGAACCAAAATGGCGACTTTTTCCGCGCAGGCGGCGGCGGCGGCGCGGGGCAGCGGCGGCGGCGCGGGGCGGCGGGCGGCGGGCGGCGGGCGGCGGGGGCGGCGCTTACCTGCGGCGCCCAGCGGGCTGCGGCCGGGCCGGGCCGGGCCGGGGCGCGGGCGCGGGTCCGGGCAGCGCAGGCTGCGCGCCGCTGCGCACATGCGCGCTCCCGCCCCTCCCACCTTTGACAGTTTTACTGCGGGGGGAGGGGGCGAACTCTCGCGGTATTCCTGCCGCGCTCCGCGACGGGGAGGGGGCCCACCGGCCCGCCTGCTAGATCGGGCTCGGGGCCCTCGTGGCGGAGGGCCGGGCCGGGGCCGAGTGGCCGACGTGCCGTCCGCAGGAGGGAGGCGTCTGTGGACAGTGGGGTAAACTGAGGCACGTTCCGGGGCGCACGGACTAGTCCGGCAGGTGCCGCGGGGGAGTGCAGAGAAGCCTGGGTGTGCAGGCCCCTGACCCCCCCCCCCCGCTGGCGGGCAGGATCGGGCCTCTCTCCAGCTGGCCCTGTGGCCTCCGTCAGGGCCTTGTAGCTTTTGGGGGGTATCTGACCATTGGATCAACGTCTTCCAGCGCTGTGCGTGATGGTCCTAGGACCGGAGCCTAGGTGTCTGCTGATGTCAAGTCAGGGGTGATGGGGAATGAGTGAATGAATGAAGCTGGCAGAGGAGTGAATCTCCCTGTGGGAGCTGGTGGGGAGGTAGAGTTGACAGGAGCCCCCACAGGAGGCAGGCAAGAGACACTAGTCTCCTCYAAGAGAATGGAGTACCGCTGTCTCCTGCTCACATCACCCTTCTCCCCGGGAGGAAACTCCCCAGAGAGGAGACTGGGTTTTAATTTTGGGTCTACAATACTATTGAAATATTTTTAATCATGTGCATATATTACTTTTACAATTAAAGCCAACTTCTAAAAGTTTTTAATGCCCCCTTTTTACATTCCACAAGCATTTTGAATTCCACAAAACTAGTGTGGGCTGGAAATTGTTACTTGGGGTATGGAGTTACAAGATAGATCTCCTTCCCTGGGGCCTACTTTTTGCCCAGCACCCTCTGYCCTGCTCCCCCTGGAGCAGGCTCTCCTGCACTGCTCTGGGGCAGGGCAGAGGAGCTGTCAGCAGATTTGATGTCCACCTCTTTTCAAGGGACCTTGATATCTGCTTTGCCTGAGACCTGCACAGAACACTGGCCTGGAGGCAGAGGCAAAGTGCTGAGCCCTATGTGAAAAGGTCAGCCAGTCAGTCCTCCCCTTGGAAATCTGAGCCAGAGAGACCAGGGTGCTGCCCCAGCCCAAGTTACCATAGGAGGAAAAGGAAAGAGTTGCTCAAAGCCCTCCTTGAGCATCCACACCCTAGGGGCAGGATGCTGGGAGGGGTCATTGTGTGTTTCCTGAGGTGTGTCCAAGGCTGTCAGCTCCCCYGTACAAATGGGATGTGTCAGCGTCCACAGGTGTGTCCAAGTGATCACGGGTCAGGAAGCATCCATCTTAAACATCACTGTCATGGCATATCTGTGTGTTCTGTGCCAGGCAAGATCAGAGCTATATCTGAGTGTCAGTGTCAGTATCCAGGCACCTTGATGTCAGAAGCATGGTACGTATGTATCTGAATCTTAGCATGTTGTCCAGGCTGTGGCATGTTCATGTGTGAGTACCTGCATGCAGGATGTGAGGACCAACTGTTTTTCATGTGTATCTAGATGTTGGGGTGTTATATAATTTGGTTTGTATTGGGGCTGTGCTCTCTCGTTTCTGTATGTTAGGGGGTCATTGTTATGCACGAGTACTTGTATGTTTGGGTAATTGTATGTATGTGGGGGTGTTGTTAAATATCTCTGTGCATATCACTGTGTCTGGCCAAATACACAGTGTGTTTGTGTGTTGGAGCACACAGTGCGTGTCTGGCTATGTCATTGCATTTGTGGGTTACATCTGTGTTCCTGTTCCTGCTATGTATCTGGTTGATGAGTGGGTGCCACGGTATATGTGCTGCTTGTCAGGGTACTGCCCTGTGTAGAAGGTTGGGTAGTGAGTCCCTACAGATGATCGTGTCAGAGTGTTGAATGTGTGAGTGAACATCCCTTATTTGGAATATGGGTCTTTATAGATATGAGTAAGGATCCTGAGATGAAGTCAACCTGGGTTACCCAGGTGGGCCCCAATCCAATCATCCTTACAAGAAGGAGACAGGGAGATATGAAAGAAGAAAGGTGATATGACCACAGAAACAGATGGGAGTGGTGTGTCCTTGATTCCTATAATCCCAGATAGCAACCAGAGGCTGGAAGAGCAAGGARAGGTGCCCTTCTGCACTCACAAAGGGAATATGATTTCGTCTTCAGAACTGAATCCCTTTCTCCCTTCTGAGCCAACACAAGGCCTTGAGCATGCTAAGCACATACTCTACCACTRTGTAACCCCTAGACTCTGATCAAAGTTTTCTTTTTGAATTCAGCCAGTGGATGCTCCTTTGTTACAGGAACCTTACATACCACGTATCTGGGCTGTTGCTCTGAGCATGTCAGGGGCCTTGTGTCCATCACTGGGTGCCATTCACCAAGAGTGCCTACCTGATGCCTCTTGTCCCAGGTGCCCTGGGATTGACCAGCAGCCCCTCCAGGAAGGGATACCACTGCCCCCTGGTGGTACCAGAGCCAGGCTGTTGGGCTGGACACCCCTTCCTCCCAGACCTAGTACTGTTGGCACTTGAGAACAGGTTTATTTCTGATTTTTTGTTAGAATATAAAAAAAGTGAATGAAAAACAAGGAAGACAATACAGGATCACAGGGTGGGCAAGACAGGAGGGGAAAAGGCAGAGATGGGCCTTCTGGCTGAAGACTGATAGCACAAGGTTTTGGGGGATACTCAGGGCAGCCAGACATGACAAGGAGGCTCCCTGTGGGTGCAGACACATGGGATGGGAGGCATCAGGCCAGTTGCCCAAATTCACTCAGGACCTGCAGTGACCAATCCTGAGTCCTGAGGCCAGCTCAGGTCACAGAGAGAGGACTGGAGGCTTAGCCTCAACTGTCCCTGAGATTGTCAAGAGTCCCCGTGGGTGTGGGAAGGGGCAGAGGGCAAGAGGTTGTGGGCTGCCAGGGCTGCCCTCACTGTCCCTCTGCCGGGCAGCACCAGCCCCAGACTACCCAGGGAAGGGTTGCTTAGATGTCTGGCGGCAGAGGTGGAGCACAGTCCTCAGGACAGTCTCTCCTATGAATCCAGGTTTTCTTGGGAAAGCAGCAAGTGCGATGGTTTCTTGAAGATGTTCTCTTAAGTGCAAATACACAGAGATGATGCTTAAAACCAGACTTTCCCAAAAGTGGGCCTAGAGCACACTGACTCCAGCAGGCTCAGGGTGAGGAGTTGCCTGCACAGGGCTGCTGTCCTCACTGTTCTGTGCTCTGTCTTCGGGGCTGAGGCAACCAGGGCCTCTCAGCCTCAGTGCTCATAAATAGATACAGGTTTGGCCAGGGTGGCGATAGAATTAGCGAGGTCCTCTGCATGGGTCCCTGCCTGGCCCTGCTGATGACTGTTACTCTGGACATAGGTTGTGCCTGCTGGGTTCTGGCAGGGGCAGGGAGAAACACAAGTCAAAGGGAGCCAAGGCAGTTTGTCCCACAGTGTGGCTGGCCTGGCAATGCTGTGAGGATATGGAACTGGACAAGTGAACAGAGATGCATGACTCAGGCAAAGGGGGACAGTCACACAGTAAAGGGAACATAAATAAACAGACTCCCTGGGAGTCTGGGGGTCATTTGAACCCCACTCTGGCTCCAGGCAGCTGCCCACATGTTGCCAGCAGTGCCAGGGAGTGGGCTCATGTCCCAGGAGGAGGGGTCACAGATAAGCAGCCCAGGCCATGGCCTGGCTGCCCAACCACAGGTGCTTGAAGGTGGAGGTCTGTCCACTAGGCTGGACTTGGCCACCATGGTATCCTGTGGGGTTCGAGAGGGTCTGTGGGGCCAGCTTGTCYTCATCCTTGGCCGTAGGCTCTGGTCACAGTGCTGGGGTCTGGTTCAAGCCTTGGCAGCAGCTAGGATATGTTTCCAAAGGAAGCTGTAGGATGCATGGAAGTAAGGGAGAGGCAGGTCCCTGCCACATCCCAGGATGGCCCTTACTAGGGCTCCCAAGCACCCTCCTGCAGTCAAGCCACTTACCTGTACTCTCAGTGCCCCCCCATGCTGGCTCCTCCCACTGACCTTGGCTGAGCAGCTGCAGGCTCCGACCCTCCTCTCGCACCTGCAGGCGGAGCACCTGTTGCAGCACCTCTTGCCTCTGGGCCTCCTGCACCAGCCCCATCCTCTGTAGCTTCTCTGCATTTAGCCGCAGAAGAGCTCGGCCTGAGGGAGGGAAGAGGGTCCAACAGAGGCTATCAGAGGCTGAGGCAGATCACAAGTTCCTGGTCAGCCGGGATAACTTAGCCAGACTTTGTCTCACAATAAAAAATAAAAAGGGCTGGGATGTAGCTCAGTGGTAGGGCATTTTAGGGCTCAATTCCCAGTACCAAAGACAAAGACACACACAGACACAGAATGAAAGGAAAAGAAAGAAAGAAAGGGCACAGGGAGTCTCAGAGAAAGATTCAGAGAGAATTGGAGGGAGAAGCAGAGAGAGAATCATGATAAGCAGCAGATGGAGGCCAAGTGGAAGATGTCAGAAGACAGTGCAGATACAGAGACTCCGAGGAACCCAGGGAAGGTTGCCTCAGAGGAGCACCGACAGGTGGAGAAACAACTGCAGACTGCAGGCACTTGGTAGGGGAGGAGGCTCTTTGGGCATCCAGCTCCTGTCCTGCCCAGACTCCACCGTACCAGTGATGGCATGCTGGGAGAAGGCCTCGACGTAGACGAGGTAGTTGTGGGGACAGTGTTTCTTAAGCCACTTGCAGACGTCCTGCTGGCTCCAGAGGACCACAGGCCGCGTCAGGCCACTCAGCGAGGGGCTTGTGTGGTACAGGCCATAGTGGTCAGAGTACAGCCGGCCCTGTAGGGGAAGTGGGTGGCAGATAGAGGGAGGGTGGCAGAGCAGGGAAGGTAAGGACTGAGGTGGGTGGGGTAGGTGGGTGGGTACCTGGGGGGTCTCTGTGCCAGGCTGCTGCAGGAGTTTGATCGGCCTGCTGCTGGAAGCCCTCTGGCTACGGGAATCATGCCATGTGAGGCTGGTGCCTGGCGTCCGAGGCAGGTGGCAGGGGATACTTTCGGCTGACACTGTGTGCTCCAGGAGAGTCCGGCAGAAGCTGAAGTGAGCAGTGGCTGTGTGCAGGGGTGCCTGGTCAGAGTGGTCAGGAGCAGKACCAAAGGCTCTTTCCCCAGGAGCCACTTCCTTGCCTAACCTATTTCCCCTCTACCAAAGAGGGAGCCAATTCCTCAAAGAGGACAAATCAAGTCCCCAAAGGCAGAAGAATGTGTGCAAAATAAGGATCCTCCTCCCTAGCCCCAAGATGGAGAGCTGAGAATACCGCTTCCCTTGCAAGCCTGCAGCCCTCACACTGACAGTCAGGATGGGTTCTGCTAGATTGGAGGACATGCCTCCCAGGGAGCCTGAGACCTATAACCAGGTGAGGGGTGACCCCAGGACCACCTTGACCTTATGCACACAAGCCTCGTACATGTCACATAGACCAGCATACACACAGGACATATCTTTGAGGAAAAAGCCTGGCTCCTGTATTATTGGAGGCACTCTGTGGAGAAGTCTGGTTAAGGTTCCTGCCTGCCCATCGCCACTGAAGGCACCCAGTTTATACAGCCATATCTGGCATTTGAGGCTTGTCCCCTGCCTGGCTGAGCTCACCAACTATGACTCATGGTCAAAAAGGCCTGAACTGGGAAAGCTGGCAACTGGGACTCCCAGGCTTTCCTGCTCTGCTGCTCCCACAGGGCCCAACCAGGACAACAGTGTGACTGGCAGGTGCTCACCAGAAATGGCTGGTCAGCACAGCCTTCTTCCCACACCAACTTTGATACATCCTATGTTTTACTGTGACAACCACCTCTGGGGTCACTGCTGACAGAAGTCTGGGGAGGGTGACTAGTCTTGATAGGACCTCTCCCACCTGGGGTGGGATCCCTAAGGCACATGAGGGGCTCCATAAATGTGGCAAATGGTGTCTTGGGGAGGGGAGAAAGGAAAGTGGGCTCAGGCTCTCCTAAATCTCTGCACACATCCAGGCCCTGGGTGGGCAGGCAGAATGAGGTTCCCAGGGCCCACCCCAAGGTGTAGCATGAGATCCTCTTTCCTTGATAGCCATCCCCTCTACACTGGGGCAGGGTTTGGTGGTGTCAAGGAGGTATAAGTAATGGGTGTACCCATTCTACTGAAACCTTAGTAAGACTCCTGAGGCTTAGCTTCTTCCTCCCCCATTTTTGGAATTTTGAACTGGACCCTTGGTGACTTTAAATTTGAGGTCTAAGGTCAGACAGCAGGTGTGTGGCTACTGCCCCAAAGTGATGTCTAGTACATGGGGAAAGATTGATTCTGAACCTGCACCTTCCAGGAGGCAGGCCAGGTCGTCTCAGGTTTCCACAGGGCSTTTGCCCTAGGGTAGGAGCAGCTCTGGGGAACTAGTCCAACGCCTCTGCYGGCCCTGCACCTGCCCGGCCAGCGGAGCCCCGCCCATTTCCTGCTGGCAGTAGGGAAGGATCGGTTCCTCCCTGCCCCAACATCAATTCCAAAAGGAAATGTGGGGTTGTGATCTCAACCCCTTGTCGACCCCACTGCCGGGGCTGAAGAGGGTTTTCTATGCATTTGGAAGGAAGGGGTGACCCCAGTGTGCCTCCAGCATGGACACAGAAGCCCTGGCCTGTCATCCCCCACCCCAAGCCAAAGGCGCGCTGATATGAAGGCCTGAGGTTGGCCAACCAATCCCCTGCGGAGGAGGACAAAGGCCACCGCACCCCGTTAGGTCAGGTCGCCCCCCCCTCCSCGCAGTTGCCGATGCTGGAAGCCCGCAGGGTCCAGCCCCCCACCCCCTTGCCTCTTGGTCCCGTGTCCCGCAGCCCCGCGACATTCCTGCTTCCCAGTCCAGCCCGTGCTCACCGTCCACATCGCGGCGCTCCCCTAAGCCAGCGCGCACAGCCCCGGCGCGGCCTCGCGGGGGGCTCAGCTTGGACCTCAGCTCGGTGAACATGGGGCCGGCGGGTGCCGGGCCCGCGCACACGCCCCTCACTGAGTRCAGGGCGGCCAGTGTGACCGGCGGGTAACGCGCGTCGCCGTCCCACCCCACACCCCGCCCCGCCCGCGCCGGCCCCGCGCCCGAGCCGGTCCCTGTGGCCGGCGAGTCTGCGCGGCGAGGCACCTGCCGCCGGGCCCAGTGCGCCGGGCGCGCTCCGGGAGCTCGGAGGTGTGTCGGCGGCGCGCGGGCTGCTTTTGCGGAGGGTGTCCGCCAGGGTAAAGGGCTTCCGTTCTCACCTGGGCACTGACCACCTGCTGAAGGTCCTCTGAGGCAGGCAAGCGAAGAGCTGTGGGTCTCCTATGTGTTGGGGGATTCAGGACCCCCTACCTACTCTTGGTGTTTTCTATCCGCGGAGGTCCTGGCCAAGGAGAGACGAACACTTCGCGCTCTCCAATCTCGTGAATTGGCTGCCCAGCCTCGGTACTAGGGAGTAAAATCAGGGTCAAGCTCCCTACCACTGGATTACACCCCAGCCCTTTTAATACTTGGATTTTGTTTTTGAACTGGGGAGGTAGCTCAGGTGTTCAGGTTGTCCTGGAACTGATGATCCTCCTTCTGCCTATGAGTAGCTGGAATTACAAGGGGTGCACTACCGCCCTAGGCTACTGACTTTCTTTAGCGGGGCACACTCAGAGGTTTCTCCCTCAAATGCGCTCTTGCTTCCCCAGAGAAGCCAGGTTGACCCTCACCCCAATCACATCTGTAGGCTTCCTTGTGGCTCTCCTCTTCCCTGTGTAACCAATCTCTGAATCTGGCTCTGAACTCTATAACCGAAAATGGGGTTGGCTGGGGAGGTTGGAGAGGAGCTCCAAGGACTGACAGTCAGGGCTGAAGTGTTTGCTCTAGAACCGCACTGAGAAGGGCTAACTGTGTTTGCCAGGTCCAGCAAAAGGCCAGGTTGCCACCAGCAGTTTTTGCCTGTTGTGCCCAAGAGCCTGGGTGCTCTCCCCAGGTGTTGGTAGGGTTGGTGTCTCGTAGCAGGGGCAGAGTTGCATTGGATTGGCAAAAATGTGTGCAGAGGAGTGGGGTGCATCAATCCAAGGCAAGGGCACAGAGGAGTCCACACTTTTGTGACGCCAGCCTACACACAGGGAGAGGTGCATTCACTTCTTTTCCTCAGCCTTGCAGGAGCGCGGACGTTCAGGCCACACCGGGCCGGGCAGGACCACAGGGGACGGTGCCCTAGGATGGCCCAGGACCCGGGCGCGAAGCGCGCCCGCGGTTCCCCACCAGCTCTGCCCAGCAGGACAGGTGCGACGGGAAGGACGGCCCCAGGGACCGCGCCCCGGCCCTGCACTCACAGGACGCGGAGCGCGGGCGGTCCTGATCTCTCGGGGCCGCCCACGCCGCCGCCGCGCCACAGACAGGCTCTCGCGAGCCCGCGCCCGCGGCAGGCGCGCCCCGCAACCGCAACCGGAAGCGCTGCGGCATGGACTTCCGCCCGAGAGTCAGGAGGGCGGGGCCGCGCGCTCTGCTTCCGGGACGCGGGTGACGTGACGGACGCGACGCTTCCTGCGGCAGCGACCGAGACGTCTGCGGTGTTTCGCGCCCGGAGGTTGCTTTTTTGCTCTGCTCCGCCGCGGGCGCCTCCTCTGCCATGAACAAGAAGAAGAAGCCATTCCTGGGCATGCCCGCGCCCCTCGGCTACGTGCCGGGGCTGGGCCGGGGGTGAGGCCTGGGGCGGCGCGCGGGGCGTGGGGCGCGGGAGGGGGTCCCGGAGGAGGACCGTGCTGGCTGCCCGCGTTTCTCCCTGGACGCAGGACGCGGAAGATGCACCGAAAATAAATTAGGGTCCGCCGCCAGTCTGCAGCCTGCTGGACGGTCTGATTTATTCCGTGTAGGTCGCAGACCTGGCCGTGAGCCTTGCCTGCCACTAGGAGCTGTGACTTGAGACTTAACCACCCCGGGCCCTGAGCCCGCGTTTTGGTGTCTAAGATGGGTATTGACGGCATGCAAGTCAACCGTGAGGAGTAGATAAGGTCCTGATGTGAAGTAGGAGCACGTTAGCCCTTCCTTGCTTTAAGCACGACTGATCATTTCTATTTAGTATTGGTCACTTTAGGTTGTCTGTTCAGTCTCAGCTCCTGGGGGCAGGCGGGCTGGTGCCTGGGTGACCCATGCCTGCCTCACAGATGACCACCGTTACTTATTGGATAAATAAGCAGTTCTTAGAGTTCTTCTTGGTTATCTGAAGCAAAAAGTGGGTCTCATTTGGTAGTGGTATCAAAAACTGCCCCAGGGGCACACAGAACACAGATGTGTCACCATTTTCAGAGGGCCAGCAGTTTATCAGAGGAAGTTTGATGCTYGTATAACTAAGTATATGAAGAGGAACAGATTTAGAACGTGAGGATTCCAGAGATTAGAAAAAGGTAGATTTGAATGTATCAGATGTGGCAAAACTAGAAGAGAAACTGGCATTTTGTGTGTAGGCAGTTAAAGGGTTAAAAAATGGAAGGATCAAAGGAAAACCAGGGGACAGCAAGGAGACCAAAGTGAGTGAAATGGAGCTGTAGGAGGTCAAAGAGGCCTGTAGGCTTCAGAGAGCCGGTGATACCAAAGAATGCCTCAGTCAGAACTGTGTTTTGGGAAGAATCATCTGGTAGAGCAATACAAAGATTAGGAGTAAGTATGGCCAGCTGTTTGCCAGTTGTGGTGTAATTTGAGGAGGGGGGATTTGGAGGTAGGATCAGTAGTACTTGAGTGTCGGGGGGTGGAGAAGACTGAAGAGGGAGGTTAAGATGATGTTTTGATGCCTGGGACTACACTGCTTCTATTAACAGCAGGGACAGCTGAGAGTAGCTGCAGGATCCAGAGAGGGCCTTGGTTTGACCTAGTTGGATGGGGGGTGCTCAGCAGGCTGTTGGAAATGTGAGGCTGGGACTTGGGAGGAGTGAGATCTGAGACCTGATAATTCACATGGAGGAGAAAGGGACAAACCTTGGAGTGATGGTGGGGGTTGGGGTGGAAACATAAGGCAAGCAGAGAAGATCAGTGGTGCTCAGCATGGTTAGAAAGCATGGTTTACTGCCAGCAGAATGTTTGGAAATTCTCAGAGGTGTTAGAAAAAGAGATGTTACTATAAGACTATCTAGGTAATGGGCATCTTCCTGCAGTGCCACTGGTTTCACCACCCGGTCAGACATTGGGCCGGCCCGGGATGCAAATGATCCTGTGGATGATCGCCATGCACCACCAGGCAAGAGAACAGTGGGGGACCAGATGAAGAAAAACCAGGCTGCTGATGATGATGATGAAGATCTGAATGACACCAACTATGATGAGGTGACTTTTGTGGGGCTTCTGTGCTGTCTTCCACCAGTCAGAAGGGCTGACTGGCTTCCATGATGAGGTGCTCCGATTCATAGATTCCTTTAACTGTGTGAGAAGGGAACAGTAAAAACAGACATGAGCCTCTTTTTCATATTTTCAGAAGAGATGTACTTACAAATGTCTGAATGTCCTATTGGTACATTGCCCTGCTGGTCATTAATGATGGTGTTGGTGTTTACTTGATCTGGCTTCAGTGCCTGCCCCTTAGCTCGTGGTTCAGTTGAGTTTTTCTAGATGGCTTCTAGTAAGTGATGTCTTTCCTCCTACGAAAATATTTTTTTTAAGATGGATGTGATTTTTTTTATACCTTTATTTTGTTTATTTATTTTTATGTGGTGCTGAGGATTGAACCTAGTGCCTTGCACATGCTAGGCGAGCACTCTACCACTGAGCCATAGCTCCAGCTCCTAGGAAAATAGTTTTTATGGAACTTTAACTTTGAAATCAGTCTTTTCTTTTTTCCTCCTTCCTTCCCTCCCTYCCTTCCTTCTCCAGGGGTGCTCTACCACTAAGCAACATTCCTAACCCTTTTTATTTACTTATTTATTTATTTAAAATTTTAATATTTATTTATTTTTTATTCTCGGCAGACATCTTTGTTTGTATGTGGTGCTGAGGATCGAACCCGGGCCGCTCGCATGCCAGACGAGCGTGCTACCACTTGAGCCACATCCCCAACCCCCTTTTTATTTTTTTGAGACAAGGTTTTACTAAGTTGCCAAGGCTGGCCTTGACCTTGTGATACTCCTGCCTTAGCCTCTTGTGTCACTGGGATTATAGGAGTGTACTACTGTGCTTGGCAGAAATAATTTTAAACTTTTAGGTTCTTGCTAAAATAGTACCAACAGAAGTAAAAAAAAAAAAAAAAAAAAAGTTCCTAAAACTCTTCACTAAGCTCCTTTTCATCCATGTTCCATTATCTTAATACAGCTACTGAGACCTGGAAATTAATGTTGGCCCCATAGTGCTCACTCATCTATAGCTCTTGTTTGAATTGTACACTGTTTCCATAAATGTCCTTTTCCTGGCATGGGACCCGTTCCAGGATTCCCCATCACATTTAGTCTTTTTAGTCTCTTCCAGCTAGACCAGCTCCTCTGTCTCTCACGCCCTTGGCACTTGAAGAGTATTGATCAGTTGGCTATAGACTGGCTCTCAATTTGGGTTTGTCCTATAAAAAGCAGTTGGCAAGTAATTTACATCTGAAAAGTCCTTTGAGTTGGTGGGATTATGTTCAAGGGAGCACTGACTCTTTTAATATATTGTTTGGTTCTTAGTTTAATGGCTATGCTGGGAGCCTCTTTTCCAGTGGGCCCTATGAGAAAGATGATGAGGAAGCAGATGCTATTTATGCAGCTCTGGATAAAAGGATGGATGAAAGAAGAAAAGAAAGAAGGTAAATTAATGCTGTTTTTATCTGACAGAATAAGTTTTGCACTGACTTTAGACTAAGAGAAGAGTTGTAGGATTAGTATGTATCAGCTTACCTTCAAGGCAGCATGGGTCTTGGTCTGGGTCAGCTGGGTCTGGGGGCTACAGTGAAGCTTAAGAACTCTATAGCCTGAATACCCCTCAAATCAGAATTTGGGGTATTACTTTGACTAGACATTAGAGTTATCCATGAAATGGAGAGTGATGTTGATTAATCCATGTTAAATAATTTGAAAATGAATATACAGATTTTATGGTAGTTGTGGTTTGGAAACTTGTTCCACATGTCAGTGTTGTATGTGGCTATAGGGTTGGGAGTGATTTAACCAAGTTGGGCTGGTGGGAGGTGCAGACATCAGGAAGTCTATGAGAAGCAGGCTTTGGATAGAGGTTCCTATGGTGCCAACTCAGGCAAGCTCTGTCCTTGGTACCTGTTGGAGAGGAGACTTTCTCTGCAGGCCTCTGAGGTGGGTGTTCTGCATCTCTGTTATTGATGTTACTTCAGTGCACCAATTGATGTGGCAGCTTTCTGAATCCTTTGTCCTTATTCTGGGGAACTTAGTGAAGTAAACATAAGATGCTACAATGTATAAAAAGGCATTATATTGGTTTGCAAGTTTCTAATTTATTGTAATAGGAAGTTACATTTTTACCTGTGTTTGGTGGTACATGCCAATAATYCTAGGTGCATGGGAGGCTGAGGCAGGAAGATCATAAATTCAGGGCTAGCCTGGGCAACTTAATGAGACCTTGTCTCAAATTAAAAAGGATTGGGGGTGTAGCTCTGCGGTAGAGTGTTTGCCTAGCTTGGGTTCAATACCTAGTGCAAGGGTAAAAACAAACAAACAGACAAACAAAAAAACCCAAATTTCTTATTATAGAGGATTAGAAAAATGAGATGAAGTATGTTTCTTCATAAGCCCAGAAAGTAACTATTAATACTTCTTTTTTCTCTTTCTATTGCTTTTTGTTTTTGGTGGTGCTGGGGATCAAAACCAGGGGTTTGCACATGCTAGGCAAGCACTCTGCCACTAAGCTGCACCCCTTGCCTTTTTTGTTGTTTTTCTTTCTTTCTCTTTCTTTTTTTTCACCCCAGTACTGGTGATGGAACCCAGGGCATCACACATGCAAGGCAGGAACTCTACTGCTGAGCCACATCCCTAGCCCTTTTAAAATTTCTGTTTTGGGATAGGGCCTCGCTAAGTTGCCTAGGCAGGGCAACTAGCTTTGGGGCTGGTCTGGAACTTGCATTCCTACTGACTTAGCCTCCTGAGTAGCCAGGATTACAGGGTTCTGCCACCATGCCCTGCTCCTTCAGTCCATTTATCAGATTACATATAAATTCCTACCAATTTATCCTACCAAAGGATGTTTTCCTTTTTCTTTATAAAGGAAAATTTAAATCTCATTTAAAAAAGTTGTAGCTAGTTGGTTCATATCAACTCCTGGTAGATTGATTTGGTTTGTCTAAGCTTAGTTCTAAATGATCCATAGCCCTGTGTCCCTGAAAAAGTTACGTGGTGATACAAACCATCTGACCYGGCAGATGGGGCGAGATAAGTTGAGGGCTTTATATATATAGGGACCTCTCATAGTTTTCAGTTTTGCTTCTGAGTTGAACATTCATAGGCTGGCCTTAGGGAATTTGTGAATTTTAAAGCAGTGAATATACTTGTGTTCAAATGGAAGAATTTATAGATGGTTGCCSTCTAAAAAGGTTTGACTCATGATTTTCAACATTACAGATGGTATGAAAGCAGTATGCATTCAATAGAAACTGTACTTTGAATTTTAATCTTTTCTAGAGCTAGCGATAGGTGGCAAGATACTTTCTTGTGATGCTGAGCAGCTCCTGGTCATCCATGCAATCTAAGGAATGACGTCTAGCGCTCTGTGGTGTGTTCTGTAAAGCTCATGTGTTCGGTAGAGTAGGGGTATTACACACTTTTTTTTGCATAGGCAGGTTTATTTAGGAAGGTAGATAGACTTTCAAGGGAGAGTGAGGGCTATCTTGAGAATGAGAAGCACCCATTTACATGGATTTTTGACTTGGGAAATTTTCAGCTTGTGGTGGGTTTATTGCTACAGAACTCCATTGTAACTCAAGCAACTGTATATCAAAGTAAGATAACTTCTTTTAATTTTATCAAATTTCTGCCTATTTTCAGTTGATAGATAGTTGAATTATTATGTATATAAATGTTTCCATAGTTGCCTTAATATACACTTGACTAAGCAGCTTAGTATGAAAGTATTCTTTTTTGGTGATTTAATTAGGGTATATAACTAGCCAGCTTTATTTTGGAATGGACACAGTCTTTCTTTCTTTCTTTCTTTCTTTCTTTCTTTCTTTCTTTCTTTCTTTCTTTCTTTCTTTCCTTCTTTCCTTCTTTCCTTCTTCTTTCATTCTTTCCTTCTTTCTTTTCTTTTCTTTTTTGAGGGGGGGTACCAAAGATTGAACTCAGGCATGAGTTCAATCTTTAGTTCAACCCCTAAGCCGCATCCTAAGCCCTATTTTGTATTTTATTTATTTAGAGACAGGATCTCACTGAGTTGCTTTTGCTGAGGTTGGCTTTGAACTTGTGATCCTCCTGTCTCAGCCTCCCAAGCTGCTGGGATTACAGACATGGGCCCCTAATATTTCTAATGCAGGTGCATATTTTATTTCATAGAGAGCAAAGGGAGAAAGAAGAGATTGAGAAGTACCGGATGGAACGCCCTAAAATTCAGCAGCAGTTTTCAGATCTCAAAGTAAGCAGGTGGTGTGGCATGCTGTTTCTTTCTTCTTTTTTTTTTGTAGTGCTGGGAATTGAACCCAGGGCCTCATGTCTGATCTAGGTAAGCTCTCTGCCATAGCCACATCACATCCTCCACCCCTTTTTTGGTAACAGTCTTGTTACATTGCCCAGACTGGTCTCTTTAACTCCTCTCAGCCTCCTGYGTGCTGGGCTTCAGGTGCCTGTGCCTGGCAGGTGTGTTTCTGATACACCTAGCCTGAGCAAAGGGCCTGGCTGCTTTGCTGTGGAGTTGATGAGATTTTACTAACTGTGCTTTACTTAATTGCTTAGAAGGTTTGTACTTTAGTACATTTAATTATGTGTATGTTTAAAAAACAAAACACCTTTCCTTCACCTATTGCAAAAGGTGGGAACAGTAAACTTATTTTCGTGTAATTTTAACTTCATTTGAATGTAAGATTTTCTTTTTTAAAAAATTTTTTTTAGTTGTAGATGGACACAATACCTTTTTTTTTTTTTAATTTTTAGTTGTTGTTGGGCCTTTATTTTATTTATTTGTATGTGATGCTGAGAATCGAACCCAGTGCATCACACATGCTAGGCAAGCACGCTACCACTGAGCTACAACCCCAGCCCCAACAATACCTTTATTTTATTATTCATTTTGTGTGGTGCTGAGGATCAAACCCAGTGCCTCACGTGTGCGAGGCAAGTACTCTGCCACGGAGCCACAACCCCAGCCCTGTAAGTAAGGTTTTCTAAACTCTGCCTGTTGGGCTCCCCACTGCCTCCCAGTATTGGGGATCAAACCCAGGGGTGCTCTAACACTAAGCTACATCCTAGCCCCTTTCTTATTTTGAGGCAGGGTCTCCCTAAGTTACCCAGGCTTGCCTGGAACTTTTGATTTTTTTACCTCAGCCTCCTGAGTTGCTGGGATTATAGGTGTGCACCATTGTACGTATGCTTTGATAGAATAATTTATATTTTAATTCCATAGAACAGATACAATAAATGGATTTCTCTTAAGTGTAGTAGAAGGCCATTTCTGCATCAAAGTCCTCTCTAAGGCCTGCTGCTCTGCAGGTTGTAGGAGAGTGAGTGTAGCTCTGCCTGAGCCATGAACTTCTGTTGATGATTCATGCTTTGGACTGTGTTTCCAGAGGAAGCTGGCAGAGGTCACAGAGGAAGAGTGGCTAAGCATCCCAGAAGTTGGTGATGCAAGAAACAAACGCCAACGGAATCCACGTTATGAGAAGCTGACCCCTGTTCCTGATAGTTTTTTTGCAAAGCATTTACAGACTGGGGAAAACCATACTTCTGTGGATCCCCGGCAAACTGTGAGCATCTGAAAAGAAGGCAAATGGGGCTCTGGGGTCTGGACAGGTCAGGTGGGAGCAATGGATGAGTGTGCCTGCAGCTCAGTAGTTGTGCTGTGGCTGAGTCTGCACAGATGGGCCTATTAGCCCCTGTGGGACTATTTCAGGGAAGATGAAGTTCACATGAAAGTGCAAACCAGTGTTTTATCCTTTACCTTCCAGCAATTTGGGGGTCTGAACACGCCATACCCAGGTGGACTGAACACTCCATACCCAGGTGGGATGACCCCAGGACTGATGACGCCAGGCACAGGTGAGCTGGACATGAGGAAGATTGGCCAGGCAAGGAACACCCTGATGGACATGAGGCTGAGCCAGGTGAGTGGCCCTGGGTGTTTTCCTATGAACATCTTGTTACCTGATTATAAAGCTATTATGATTGTTTTAAAAACCCAACAAGGGGCTGGGGCTGGGGCTCAGTGGTAGAGTGCCTGCCTCACATATTTGAGGCACTGGGTTTGCTCCTTGGCACCACATAAAAATAGGTGAATAAAGTAAAGGTATTGTGTCCATCTATAACTAAAACATAAATTTTTAAAAAAGATATTTAAAAATGTATATTATTTAAACAAACAAACCCAACAAGGTCAGGCACAGTGAGACCCTGTCTCAAAATAAAAAGGGCTGGGGATGTAGCTCAGTGGTAGAGCACCCCTGGGTTCAATCCCCAGTACCAAAAGGAAAAGAAAAAAGTAAAGAGTCTTTTTTTCTGTTACAAAAATAGATAGAATTCTGTGTTCAGGTGAGGACTGCGTGTACCTATAGTCCAGGCAAGCACAGTGCACCCAGGGCCGCATCCAAAGGGCCAGACCTATGTGACATTGCCTACCATCCTCTTCCATTCTGGACCTAGGGCCATCTGTATTTCACTAAATTGCCACCCGGCTCTAAAGTGAATGGGCACTCCACTCTAGAGACTACTGGGTGCTGGACCTAGTGCAGTAGGGATCCCTTTCTGGTTCTGAAACSGCACATTAAAAACCCCGAAGGGAAATGTTTCAGATTTGTTTATGGTGAAATTCAGAATTTTTGCATAATGGAAAACACYGTAAAGTCAACAAAAGACCCAGTAAACTAGGAGAAATAATCATACGTATAAAAACCAGTTTCAGGGCTGAGGCTGTAACTCAGTGGTAAAGTGCTTACCTCGCATGTGTGAGGCACTGGGTTTGATTCTCAGCACCACATAAAAAAATAAAGATAGTATATGTGTTCATCTACAACTCAATAAATACTTAAGAAACATAAAAGATTAAAAAAAAAAAAAAAGAAAACCATTTGCAGCTGGGTGCAGTGGCACACTCCTGTGATCCAGTGGCTTGGGAGGCTGAGGCAGGAGGAATCACAACTTCAAAGCTAGCTTCTGCAACTTAGCAAGACCCTAAGCAATTTAGTGAAACCCTGTCTCTAAAAATATACAAAGGGTTGGAGATGTGGCTCAGTGGTTGAGTGCCCTTGGGTTCAATCCTCGGTACCGAAAAAAAAAAAAAAAACAAAAACAGTTTCAGAGTGATGTGTATAATCTTCCATTTGTGTTTGGAGAATCACGTGTGAATATTTCACAAACTTCAAAAAAAATTCCAAGTTAGGTAGGTGGTTCATACCTGTAATCCCAGCCGCTCAGGAGAATCCCAGTGACCTCTGTAGGCTGAGACAGGAGGATTGTGAGTTTAAGGCCAGCCTTAGCAACTTAGTGAGACCCTAAGCAACTTAGCAGGACCCCATCTCAAATTAAAAAATTAAAAGCTCAGTGGTTAAGAGCCCCTGGGGTTCAATTTCTGGTACTAAAACCCAAACCAAACCTTGCAATCACCAATCTTTTTTGATTTCTGGGTTTCGCTCCTTATTGGTTCTTTCTTTTTTTTTTTTTTTTTTTGTACTGGGAATTGAACTCAGGGGCACTCAACCACTGAGCCACATCCCCAACTCTGTTTTGTATTTTATTTAGAGACAGGGTCTCACTGAGTTACTTAGCGCCTCACTTTTGCTGAGGCTGGCTTTGAACTTGCGATCCTCCTGCCTCAGCCTCCCTAGCCTCTGGGGTTACAGGTGTGTGCCACTGCTCCCAGCCATTTTTTTTTTTTTTTTTTTTGAGATAAATATCCCAGGTTTTTTTTTTAATTATTATTATTTTTTTTAAAGAGAGAGAAAGAATTTTATTTATTTTATTATTATTATTTTTTTTTTTTAGTTTTCAGCAGACCCAACATCTTTCTTTGTATGTGGTGCTGAGGATCGAACCCGGGCTGCACGCATGCCAGGCGAGYGCGAGCATGCTACTGCTTGAGCCACATCCCCAGCCCCTTAATATCTTTATTTTTATGTGGTGCTAAGGGTGGAACCCAGGGCCTCATACCTGCGAGGCAAGCGCTCTACCAATGAGCTACAGCCCTAGCCTTACTCCTAGCCATTTTTAATGTGTCTTTTCCATGTAGAAAAAATTCATCATCACAAATTGTCATCTGAATTAATGTTATTTTCCTCTTTTCGTGACTCCCCACTGGGTCAGGGCTCTTGGTAGGACTTGTTCCAGGGGCCCTTTGAGCATTTGTTCTGCATGCACCTGGTTGCGTCCAGCTGATTTTCTGCTTGTCTTGTATTGCAGGTGTCTGATTCAGTGAGTGGACAGACTGTTGTGGACCCTAAAGGCTATCTGACGGATCTCAACTCCATGATCCCCACCCATGGCGGGGATATCAAGTGAGTGATGTGCAGAGTTGGTCGTTTGGGATGGGAACTCCTGTTGCTTAGAATGTTTTAAGTTTTTTTTTTTTTTTTTTTTTTTTTTACAATATGCAGTCAAAATATGGGATAGATGTTCTAAGAAATGATATAGTTTGGTTTTTCTTTTAAAGTATATATTTTCCATTTGAGTGGGTGTGTTTAGTGTTTTATACATATCATTCAAAGTCAGTGCCTTGGCTGAGCTAGAAAGTGGTTTTTGATGTTCAGAATTATCTGCATGGATGTTAAACAGGCTTGGAGTAGTGCTGTCGGGAATTTTGGTTGGTTTGCATTGCTGAGTCGATTGCTTAGTACATTGTGACATAGACACTTTCTTCCTGGTCTTGGGTGCTCCCCGGGCAGTGTGGCTCAGTACTGCATTTTTGCTCTCAACAGTGACATCAAGAAGGCACGACTGCTCCTCAAGTCTGTTCGGGAGACAAACCCTCATCACCCGCCAGCCTGGATTGCGTCAGCCCGCCTGGAGGAAGTGACTGGGAAGCTACAAGTCGCTCGGAACCTCATCATGAAGGGAACAGAGATGTGCCCCAAGGTGAAGCCCATTGTAGGGTATTTTCCTGGATGGCGTCAAGATTGCTACCCTTGAGGGACTGTGTGTTTGTCTATACCATGCAGGATACCTATAGGAGTAGACTAAAGCTAGCAAGTCCTTTGCCTTAAGTACAGAGGGTAAGGCAGCTTAGGGGAGGGTGTGGGCTTCTCTGGTTTCCACATGGAGTGAAGCTGATCCCCTTTCCCTTTAATGGCAGGTAAGAGTGAAACTGGGTAGTTTGTTGTGCCACATGATGTAAAAAACCTAAGGACGATGCTAACACTTAGGAGAATATTACAGTATGCTAGTGCTTTTTTTTTGGTACTAGTGATTGAACTCAGGGGCACTTGAACACTGAGCCACATCCCCAGGCCTATTTTATATTTGTTTTAGAGACCGGGTCTTACTGAGTTGCTTGTGCCTTGCTTTTGCTGAGACTGGCTTTGAACTCGTGATCCTTCTGCCTCAGCTTCCTGAGCTGCTGGTATTACAGGCGTGCTCCACCACGTGTCTAGCTTGGTTTTTTTTTTTTTTCTTTTCCTCCTGGTTCTGTGATTGAACCCAGGRACACTTGACCACTGAGCCACATCCCCAGCCTTTTTTGTATTTTGTTTAGAGACAGGGTCTCCCTGAGTTGCTTAGGGCCTCACTAAGTTGCTGAGGCTGGCTTTGAAGTTGTATTCTTCCTAACTCAGCCTCCTGAGTTGCTGGGATTACAGGTGGACACCTGGACAGTGCTTGCATTTTTGAAGGTGGAATGACCAGACAAGCTTAAAAAGTTTTATGAAGGGGGTTGGGTTGTGGCTCAGGGGTAGAGTGCTCGCCTAGCATGCTTGAGGCACTGAGTTCGATCCTCAACACCACATAAATGCAAAATAAAGATATTGTGTCTACTTAAAACTAAAAAAAAAAAAAAAAAAGTTTCATGAAGCCTTATTGAGTGCCATGTACTTTATTGTGCAGACTGCTAGTGAAAAAGGACCCAAGGGGACTTACCCAAGAATCAGGCACAAATCAGAACTTTCCATCAGATACAGTCTCTGCTTTGTGGGCTAACCCTGCAGAGTGAAATTATACTCTTTTTGAGAAGTGTTGTTGCACGTGTCTTTTGTTAGACATGTGGCAGCCATGTTTCTATGCCTTGGTGTTGCAGGGAGAGTCCTGGTGTAGGTGTGCGTGGCCAAGCTGACTGATTGAATATGTGCCCGAGTACCTACTGCTCCACTGTGGCTCCCAGTCTGTACATGAATATGTGCCCGAGTACCTACTGCTCCACTGTGGCTCCCAGTCTGTACATGCCCTCACTGCTTTTTTTTTTTCCTGCCCCAGAGTGAAGATGTCTGGCTAGAAGCAGCCAGGTTGCAGCCGGGGGACACAGCCAAGGCTGTGGTGGCCCAAGCTGTCCGCCATCTCCCACAGTCTGTCAGGATCTACATCAGAGCTGCAGAGCTGGAAACAGACATTCGAGCAAAGAAGCGGGTTCTTCGGAAAGGTGAGCCTCCCTTGGGTAAGGGCAAAGCCTCCCYTAGAGGGCCCTCTGGTCTCTGCGTCCCTACAAGACATATGGCTTCCATAGTCAGCGTCCCTACTTCCRCTCCATGGTCCCTGTGCCCTATAGGAGATGTCCCCATGGTCTCTGTCCTTTACAAGAGGTATCCCTGTGGTTTTCATCYCAAGGTGGAGCTGTGCTTTCTTGACTCCTGGTACTCTGCTCCTTGGCCCAGGATGTTTAGTGTAGTTTTATTTTTATCTTTTTTGGCTAAGGTTTATGCTGAGAGTAAGGAGCTGCTGACGTTTGCCAAGCTTTTTCCTAGCTGGATTGCCTCTGCTCTTGGACCCTCCATAGGGGAGGGATACCAAGGTGTGAAGTGCCCACCGTGACGGAGGCTTGGTTGGAACGCTTGGTTTCCTCCAGCACATAAGCTGGGCAGTCTGTCCTCCAGATACTCTTCATCTTCCAGATGAGGACACTGTGTTCCAGACCCCCTCGGGGGCTCTGGAGGCTGGATGGGGTGCCTGTGGGAAGGACTGTGCTGTGCTAGGGTGAGGAGTGCCTGTGGGTAGGATGTAGCTTGGTGTAAGTCTGAGCTGACTGCATGGTCTACCCGCAGTGATGGCGCTCCTCCCTGCGTGGATCAGGCTGTGCCTCAGGCTCCTGGAAGGTGGCCTTTGTTGGCAGYTTATATGATGCTCATCACTGGGAATTCATGAAAGGAGCACTCTTGCTCCCTCTACCAAGGCTTCTCCCACCACCACTTTTTTTTTTTTTTCTACCAGGGATTGAACTCAGGAGCACTTAACAACTGAGTCACATCCCCAGCCTTGTTTTGTATTTTATTTAGAGACAGGATCTCACTGAGTTGCTTAGTGCTTCACTGCATACTTTTTTATTGGTGCATTATAGTTGTACATCGTGATGAGTTACATTTTTGAACATGCATACCATATAAAATATAATTTGGCCAATTTCACTCCGAGTACTTGCCCCCTTCCCCTTGGTCCCTTTCCTCTGCTGATCTGCTTTTGATTTTCATGAGATCTGCCCCCAACTTTTTTTWTTTTTTTCTTTCTAGTTTCTATGTGAGAGAAAGCATAGGACCCTTGACCTTCTGAGTTTGACTTCTTTTGCTTAACATAATGGTCTCTAGTTCTAGACATTTTCCCGTAAATGGCATAATTTTGTTTTTCTTTATGGCTGAATAAAATTCCACTGTGTATATGCTACTTTTTCTTTATTTATTCAGCCAGTGATGGACACCTAGGCTGGTTCCATATTTGGCTATTGTGAATTGGTCTGCTACAAACATGGGTATGCATGTTTCACTGTAGTAAGATGACTTTAATTCTTCAGGGTAAATACTGAGGAGTGGGTCATATTATGGTTTCATGCCTACTCTTTTGAGGAACCTCCATATTGATTTAATAGTAGTTGTACTAGTTTACAGTCTCACCAATGGTGTAAAAGTGTCCCTTTTTCTCCAGATCCTCTCCAGCATTTATTATCGTTTGTGTTCTTTTTTTTTTTTTTTTTTTTTGCTTAATATTTGTCTTTTTTTTTTTGGTACTGGGGATTGAACCCCAGGAGTGCTTAACCACTGGGCCACATCCTCAGCCCCTTTAAAAAAAATTTTATTTTTAGTTGTAGATGGACACAATACCTCTATTTTATTTATTTATATGTGGTGCTGAGGATCAAACCCGCTGCTCACACATGTTAGGTGAGCACTCTACTGCTGAGCCATAACCTCAGTCCTCCCCAGCCCCTTTTTATGTTTTATTTTGAGACAGGGTCTAGCTGAGTTGCTTAGTGCCTCACTAAGTTGCTGAAGCTGTCTTTGAACTCACAGTCTTCCTACCTCAGCCTCCTGAGTCGCTGGGATTACAGGCATGTGCTACCATGCCTGGCTTATTATTTGTATTCTTTT